GAGATCAAGTTACATTTACATGTGACCAAATATATATTTAGATTTCCAACCTTATTTTCCTAAATTAAAATAATTTTGGTCTTTCTGTTTTAAGCTTATGCCTTCATTGTAAAACAAGAGCATGTATTTAAATTAGAGCAATGTAATGCTCTATTTTGCTCAGGTTGACAACAGTTGCTGCAAGCAAGCTGAGACATTGTTCTGTCATCCATAGACACTAAATTAAATATGGCACAATGGCAAAAATCTTTTTGGCTTCATTCTAAGCAAACAAGCCAACGCAAGTTATAAATTCTGTGAACTACTAGAAGCCCTTTTCACTTCACTTAAGATTTTATGGTAATTTCAGGCTCTATGTCACATCTTGTTTTTGCTATTGCAAAAGCAAAAAAACACCAACTGGTCAGCTCAAGTGATTTTGGAACACCAACCTTCTTCAGATCTCCAGGCTTCATTACTGAGCAAAAACATAAAAACAAACAAAAAAAAATGCCAGCTAGAAAACTCTTCCAGACAACACATGGGAGGGGCAAGAAGGTCCACATCCCCTCCTGCGATGCTGGGGGCAGGGGAATATTCAGCACACAAATGCAAAAGGAGAACACGGGGCTGGTAGCAGCTCATCCTGCATGACTGTATCTCCTCCAGCCCTTATATGCAGCTATGTCTCCTGATATCTGTACAGCCCTGCTGGAAGACAGGGCTGGAGTGGGGTCAGGGTGGTACTGAAACAGTTATGCTGGAGGAGCTGCCAGCATGAAGCCACCTGGTGGCCCCACATTTTGCTCTTGTAACTGCTGCAGTTCCCAGGAGAGCCGTGTGGTTCAGGACTCACCTGCAGAATCCACTCTCCTAGGAGATCCTTCCCAAAGCACAGACAGTGGAGTTCCAGAGTCTCAACAGGGCACATAGAGCATGCGACACCAAGTATGTTTAAGACGATATCTTTCCATGCCTATGGTTTGGGCTTTATAAACTGGAGTCTATGACATCAGACCAGGGCCTCTTTTTTCTTCTATCTAACAAGATGGTTTATTAGGTGATGAACTTTTGTGGGCCAGACCCACTTCCTCAGATCAATTTGTGGAAGAAAATTGGCACAACCATATATACCAAAGTGATACAATCAAAAAAATGAACACATATGAAATTGACAAATCAAATTTTAGGACAGAGTGGGAGCGAGGGGGGAAGGTTAATGTCTGTGAGGTAATGACATTAGGGATGATAATTGGGGAAGCTATCTTCCTGAAAATGCCGTTCTTCCTGAAAATAATTGGTGTAATGGCATTGTGCAAGAGGGTTTTTCTTGCGCAAGAAGGGGCAGTGTAGACAGCTTCTTCTGGTGCAAGAGCCTCTTCTGCAAAAATGGCAGCTTGTTAGGTATGCAAATGAGGCTTAGCAATATTCCATGCTCAGCCTCATTTGCATATTTCTTCTGCAAGAAGCCGCGAGTGTAGACATAGCAAAGCTTTTGGGAAATCTGCTCAGATTACAAAGCCTGCTACATGTCCACCTTTAATTAGTTCACCACTTCATCAGTTAACTTGTCTTGTGGAAGAGAAGGTCTTGAGCAGTGTAAGAGGATTCATTTCTGGGATGCAAGAGTGACAGGATGTGCTTCTTCTGCAGAGTTCATGAGTGGCAGGGCATGCATACAATTTAGCTGGGTATGTCCCTGCATGTTGCTGACTGACAGATCACAGCACCTGGAGGGGTTTGCTGCTTGTCACTCGCTGACCTCTGAAGGGCCACAGTCCAGATTGGAGCGTTATGGCAGCACAGCAGGCCCAGGTTGTACCATCTGTCTCATTTCCCCATTCTCATTCTCCTCTTGCTTTTCTTGCTCCTTCAGAAGGAATCCGGCCAGTTCCTCAGTTCTGAATGACACCCCCAAAGTGCAAGCACCTCACTGATGCCCCAGGTGCTTTAAAATGCCACCTGTTCCCAGCTTCCTGGGGAGCGCGCCGAGAGAGGGGACCACCCCTCCCCCCGCAACATGCTGCTCTTTGGCGGTTTCCCAGCAGAGGAGACGACCCGGGCCGATGAACCGGCCAGATCCCAGGGGCGGATAAGGCGGGGCACAGACCAGACCCTGCGCCTCTCAGCGGCCAATCACGGCACCGCGCTTAAGGCCACGAGGCATC